CACGCAACGATGATGCCCAAATTGGTTTGCAAATTACCAATCGCACGGATTAATCTTTCCGAAATCACAGTATTTACTAAAAAAAAAAACTCACTATTCGAACAATTTACCGGGAACTATGCCAGGAGTCACTTAGTGAGAAAAAAACTGATAATTTATATCCAGCGAATACTGAGAAAACTTCCAAAACAACGGAGCGCGAAACAAGTCGACCGTACTTCTTGCTAGGACGCAGTGAGATGATTTTTCATGTTGGCGTTTGTGATATCTCAAAAACTTTTCATCCGTTTGAAATAATATCAACAGTGAGCATACATAAGGGCGTAAACGCGATGATCGATTCTCTTCATCGATTTTTTTTTCTTTACAATGCTTCAGCTAAGCGAAACAATTTTCTGGCATTTGTTCAATGTAGTGCTGTAACAGGTTGTATTGGCTATCAAATTCAACAGCAAACGCACTGAGAAACGTTAATGCAAGCGTGTTATTAACAACTGTCACTGTCGATATATTCTAAACTATTTTTTCCATCTGCTTACTAAGCCGATTTTCGATATCTCAAAAAAATCGATTTTTGGTGCACACTTTTGTCTAAATTTTTCGTTTGAAAAAATTGACATTTTTATTAAATTGTCCCCGATTTTCTTTTTTAAATCAGTACAGTGCTTTCTCGATTTTGTCAGCTCCCGATTTTGTCAACCCCCGATTTTGTCAGCTCTTTTTCCCGATTTTGTCAGACTGAAAATTTTGCTGAACTTTTTGGTTTTTAAGCATGAATTATCAAGCATCTCGCTCCAAATGACACTTAATTGTTTTGTCGCAACAATAACATAGGTAACTCAAATAAACCTCAATTATTGCCACACTGCACAGCTGTATCGAGTGGGATGGCTGCAATACAAGTTATGGGCAGATACCCCATTCAAGAAGAAGGTTTCGTGAATTAACGGAATATTCAAATGCAGTTGCTACGCACCCGATGGACGATGGAGCATTTCCACGAGACACTGGTGGGACTTACCGAAGAGCAGATCGGACGAAGTCGGTAGTCATCGGAGGAGACTTCAATGCTTAGGCAGTGGAGTGGGGAAACAGATGTACCAACGCAAGAGGGCACATTCTGCTGGATGGTCTGGCGAAACTGGAAATTAGGCTGTTCAATAAAAGCACCACCAGCACTTTTCGCACAGAATCCATTATCGACGTCACTTTATGCGAACTGCAGTCCATCGCTGGTGGCAAACATGAATTGGAAAGTGTGTGAAGGATGTACCCATAGTGACCATCAGGCAATCCGATAGGGGCATCGGCCAAAGGAATCCTGTGGCAATACAGTAGACGATAACTTGCGACCTGAAGTGGAAGACGAGTTGACACGACCATGCCGAGGAAACTGGAGCTACACAGCAAAAAAAAATGTAATATCGATCAACGTAATTCAAGCTGATGTATGAAATAATGATGTAATAGCAAAAACCAGATACAATATTACATCAATGGATGTAATTTTGTTCGCAAAATCGATGTACATCGTATAAACGTAATATTACACAACAGGAAACTGGATCGAGACGCTGCTGCCAACGACGCACACCGAACGGCGCCGGTGGTGTAGTGGTAAGCGTGATTACCTCTCACCCCAGCAGGTCTGGGTTCAATCCCAGTCGGCGCCGCCGGGATGTTCTGAGGCATAACATCTCTGATCACGCCTTCCTTCGGATGGGAAGTAAAGCCGTTGGTCCCCGGTTCATGAGTTGATGGGTCGATAGGTAGGGTCTAGGTGTGGGAGCTGCCTTCCTGGCACGTCGGTAGCATTGGTGCTCAGCACGGAAAACAAGATCGACGGAAAAAATAAACCAAAGGAAAAAAAAAAAAAAAAACGACGCACACCGTGTCGTGATCAGATGTCAAGTCATACCCGCTGAAATGTGCTTAGAGAACATGAAAGTCATCGTGAAAGGACTTTTCTCTTCACAGCAAAAAATAAATTTTAATATTACATCCAAGAGGATGCTCTTCAATCATGTCGAAAATCTCATGTAATTTTTATGGCCACACAAATAAACAAATGCAGTTAAAGCAACATATTGTCAGCACATGCACTGTATTAATAATAATTTTGCCCTTTTTGGCAAGTGATATTACACCATATTTTTGACACGATTGAAGTGCATCCACTTTGATGTGATATTAAAATAATTTTTTTGCTGTGTAAGCACGATCCAACGACCTGGCCACCTACATCGTACGGAGACGGAGAGGGAGATAACGACGAAGTCACCAAATCAAAGTGGATGCAATTCAGACAGTTGTCGAGAGAGCCGAGAAGGAGTAGAAACAGAAGTGGCGAGGAGATCGATATTACGCCGTGATAACGATCGACGTCAAGAATGCTTTCAACAACTCCAGCTGGGAGGCCGACGCTACTTCCAGAACCGGGTTCTGATCTACGAGCCAAATATGGGATAGAGATCGATTAGGATCACGGTGGGAATTCAAAAAGGCTCCATCCTTGGTCCAACGCTCTGGAACGTGATTAAAAACGGCGGTCTAACGCTGGAGCTACCCGAACGAGTTGAAATCGTTGGCTTTGCGGACGACGTCATCTTACGGTAACAGGTAAGACGCTGGAATAGATGGAAATGTTGGCGACCGAGGCGGTTGACATGATTGGAAACCTAATGCATGGGGCGAAGCTGCAGATAGCCCACAATACAAACGAGGTGGTATTGATCAGTAACTTTAAAGCGCTGCAGCGGTCAGAAATTACCGTTGCGGAGTACGCAATAAACTAGAAGTGCGTGTTGAAATGCCTAGGAGTGATGGTCGACGACCGATTGGCTTCAACAGCCACGTAGTTAGAATACGCCAGCCATCAACGCGGTAGCCAGAATCAAACCGAACATCAAGCAGTAGCAAGACGCGGCTCCTGGCTAGTATATTTACGTTGATTCTGAGATATGGAGGTTCAGCCTTGGTTGCAGCCCTGAAAACCAAGCGGAATTTAAAGAAACCGAACAGTACGTACCGGCTCAACAAACCGTACGCAAACTTTTCGAGCCGTTTGGTATACCCTTTATTTTAAGAATAGTAAACATTTATCAGTAATTCCATTAATAGTGGATAAATAACGGTTAAACTTGATTTCAAAATCATTTCGATGGTTAAAATATTGAAGAAGAAAATTTTCCGATTTTGTCTGCCTAAAATTTCAGATGGGGCTGACAAAATCGGGAAAGTACTGTATATCGAAAAAAAAGCTACTTACGTACAGGCATGGAAAATCATTTGCATTAATTTAATGCATTCATTTACATTCATTCGTCCCTAATTTTTTTTACAACAGAATTCCGCAAAGTAATGTATGGAGTTTTTGTAGGCTTTGTTAATAACTACAACTTTTGTTAACAGCTCAAATCCGTATCTCTTGTGCATGATGAACCAGAGCGAACAGAAGCCACTACTGTTTTTCAGTGAATGTATTTTACATTCCCTGAAAAACAGGAACAAGTTCTGCCCACTCTAGTTCGTGATGCATAAGAGATACAGATTTGAGTTATGGGCAAAAGATGTAGCTAATAACAAAACCTACAAAAGCTATTTACTTTAATTTGTGGAATGCTGTTGTTGAAAAAAGTTAGAGGCAAATGAATGTAAATGAATACATGACATGAATGTAAATGAATGCATGAAATGAATGTAAATGATTTTCCATGCCTGCTTACGTAGATTGAAAATGTATCTAAAAATAAGAGAAAAAATTGTTTGTTCTGTGTTCACATCACATGGGCGAGCAGTGGAACCCACGCCGCTAAGGAATATTCGGTGGGCAGTGCCTGGCGGCACCTGGTGCTACGGTCACTTGAGTGGTCCAATATTTAGCAACGAAAAAATAATAATCTTTGAACTACATTCATGAATAAACAAACCTACGCATATCCTATTTTGACAAATGTTTATTTAGCCCCGTTAAAAAATCGCCCGCCAATCAATGCTCCTCATATCCTCCAATTGCATCTGTGATAGTGAATATGAAATTAAGCAATGTAGCATTACACAAGAAAGGCGCTTCCTAACAAGCACTTGAAGTAAGAGCTTATTCAGGCTAACAAATCGCTTATTCAGCCTTTAATCAGCGTGTTGGGCTGTCATCGGAAGGAGAACTATTCAGGGTTTGTGGGACTAATGTTTGATCGGGATGTAGTTCAATAGGGTTCAGTGGGAATTAGAAACAAACAAAATTAATAGAGTTTTACTCAAATCACCTCAGAAACAGTAAGTTATGTTTCAAACTAGTAGCTAAACATTGAGTTGAGTCATTGAAATTTTGCTTAATTTGCCATTGGAAGTCATTGAAGTTAACCTAAATTTGCATGATTTGTTCTATGTTTGCATTTATAGAGACTAATCTTTTTGAAAGTCTACTACGGATGCACTGAGCTAACGTTAAAGAAGACTACGGCTTGGTGCAAACGTGTCGTAGGCTATCTGAGACCTCCACAAAACATAACAGCTAACTGATTCAACATATTCATATCTTTCCAGGAACCATCGAACAGTGTCCACTTTAATTGGAAAACTGTTGGCGATTCCTAGAAACGCAGTCCATCACAATGTAGCAACTACCATCAACGTTTACCCAATTTACCACCGGATCACCCAAAGCATCCATCCAATCGGTACCGATAGTGCAACTGTACCAGTTCTGCTGCATCACCATTTTACACGTCGTCGCAGTAGTGACGCTTTCATTGCATTGTACCAAAGAGGGGAGCTATAGGGTAGATAGGGGAGAACAGTCCATAATGGACCCTAGGGGTAAAATGACCCCGTGCGATTTTTCGTTGCTTTCCCATTACTAATTCTGGGACTTTATGTGCCGAAATGCTAGTTTCAGTACTGAACTAAATTCACGAATTCATGATGGGAAAGCTAATCAAAACCACCCGGGGCCATTTTAACCCAGGGGTGCGCTTTGGCCTGTCCCACCCTACCTACAGCGGTTTGTTATTGTTGTCATAGCCCAGTGGTCCAATGCCCGACCAACTTCGCTGAAACGGGCCGGCTGGCTGATGTTCGCGGTGTGTGGTGGCTACAAAACGGCTCCAACTGCAACAATGAATGAGACACTGGACCGTACCCAGCCAGAAACTCTCCTCTGGGCCGGCGGCGGACCCACCAACTACCTTGCGGGGCTGATGCGTCCAAACATTGCTCCATAACGCTCAGTCTCGGTCTTCTTGCACTGGCAGAAGGCAGTCCATAGGCGGATGCTCGTCGTTTCAGCTCTCTCGAGTCAGTTCACAGTATTTCGTTGGTCGTCGTCATTCGTTGGTCGGTTGGTTCCGAACGGAAAATTCGCGGTCCCAAATCCCAAGCGGGTAAAAGTTGACCTAATTGATCCGAGCCACTGCGCGTCCGTCTCTATCTCGCTGTTTCGCTTGCGTCGCGACGCCCGCTCTACCCCGTTCGCGCCCTCGTGCCTGCGAAACGTGCCGCACCGATGCCGATATCTGTGCCAAGAGAAGAGGATGAAGTGGTAAAATCAGAGCTGAAAATTGATGTAAATTTTAAACATATAATTAAACGTATAATTGAGCGCCGCTGACGCTGGATGGTGAGGGAAGGGAAGAAAACTACCAATAATAGTTTAACAACAGTGATAAAATAGCCGATAATCGAATTTGCCAGTGTTTCGCCGAACATATGACGAGCATAGATTGCGAGGTGTGCATAAACGAGCGGCAGCAGAGGGGCCTGGCCTATAGTGGTGAGTTGCGGTTGTTGTTTTGTTTACATGCGGCTTTTCTTCGTGTACACATCGTCGAGTTGTAGCACTAACTCTTACATAGGTATGATAAAAATACGCGCAGTGGCGAAACGGACGATGCGTCTGTAGCTCAATGGCAAACGATTAAACCAGTTTTTTTGCTTTCTGAGCTGACCAGAAAAACCATGATAAATGATTTTCTACTGATTTGAGCGGTGAGTGATATTTGCTTCAAGGTGCATGAGAAAGAGAGCGAGGAAAAGATGCACTCAAAGTTGTGCAGTGGTGCCAGCTGTAGTGAGAAGGTAGTTGCTATCGCATGATTAATCATAACTAAGAAAATTAACTGGCGGCTATGCTGAATTTTCCCAAAGATGGCGCTGCTTACTTGATAATCCGCGTTAAAATTTGGCGTTGGAAAAGAGATAAAATCAATGATTTTCAATAATTATAAGTAGTAATCAAGAATTCATGTGTTTAAGTAGTAGTTGTAAGTAGTTGTTAAATTACTGTCAAACCAATCAAACAGAACATTCCCGTTAATTTTACTGTTGTCTTATTACCAAGAGAGTAAGCTACTTTGCTCTTACACAATTCTCTCTCACGAAGTCATGAGCTCAATTGCTCAACATTCTATCAATTTTGATGACATACAGTAGGGGAAAAGTTGGCTTCGGCAATACCTTAACCTATTATCGTCAGTCCTACACGCAAACCAAAAATCTATTACAATGAATGTTAGTTCCATTTCCTATCATCCTCTGTTCATGAACATCGCAGCGAATGTTAGAAGTTGACCGTACAGGCGATGTAATGGTTTTTTGCCTTTTTTATTTCGTGTTCTGTCTATGCTTTTACCTACACAAGCAAGCATTTGCCTTGATTTTTATGTATAACATGGTAGAACGACGCACACACTTGCCGCGAATCTCTCCAGCAGAAAAAGCATACGAAGTCGAGTGTGAGAGGAAAGGAACGCTTCTTGTTTGTTTTTAGGCTATCCATATTCAGAAGCATGGAGAGAGCAGTGGAGAAAGCACAGGTCTGATAATCGCAACGTTCGTTGTTCGAGTCCAGTCGGCAACCTTTTTCCTATTTTTTTTTCGACATAATTAATTTACCTCACTAATACACTCTACATTTTTCGGTCTTCAATTTTCTTGCGTTGGACCGCAGCTAGGTATATCGCATCCTCGGTTCATGCGGTCTCCACTTACATCCTCTGATGATGAATCCCACATAATTGTAAGCGAATCTTACATCCACCGGTTGGGTGTACGTCTCCATTTTCAAAAATAAGAAAGTTTATTTTAAATATCAGTTAATTTTAGGACCATGCTAAATTTGAAAAGTATCTAAAAAATAGATTATTTAAGCATAAAACTTCGCCGAAAATATCAAACGTCTAAATATTGAAACAAAAGTACAAACTTATTTTGTTAGTCTTTACGGTAGCACTCTGAAAACCATCTATAACGGTTTAATGTTTCAATTCAAATTGCTCCTGAAAGTCATCTATGAGAGACATTTGAAACGTCATGAGACTATTGACTTTTTTTTATTAATACATCCCCGTTATCTCTTCTAGTTTTTTCAAATCAACTCTGAGATTCAAGTCTATTGGTTCAACGTCACAAATTCTGACGCGGGTTGTTCAGTTCAATGCAAATTAGGCTATATCAAAATCAAATGCGAATAAAGTAGGCTATACCAAAATCTGAATGTTTATTTTATTGTTCTTTTGTTAAATGTTGCACCATAACACGTTTTCATATTCATAACAAGAACATGAGTTTCTAGGACATATTTTTTTCTAGGCCTTTTTTTTTATTAGAAGGCGATATTTTTGAGCGACAAATTGCCTTCAACGAATTTTTCTCCATTGCTCGTCAGCAAATCCTCATCAGTTGGCAACAGAAATGGAATGATGGTGATTTGGGAAGATGGTTACATTCTATTCTCCCACAGGTGTCGAACAAACCATGGTTCAAAGGGTTGGACATGAGCCGTGACTTTATACGCGTTATGTCAAGGCTTATGTCCAGTCACTGTTCGTTAGACTCGCACTTCTATAGAATTGGGCTCTCAGGCAGCAATTTATGTGTGTGTGTGGCAGTGGTTATCAGATATCGAGCATGTTGTTTGGTCATGTACCCTACACCGTGTTGCCAGATCTGAGTTATTCGCATCTCTCAGGTTCCGAGGAAAACAACCCGTGATACCCGTTAGAGATGTCTTGGCTAGCCGAGATTTCGACTATTTGAATTTACTTTCTGTGTTTTTAAAACGGATAGATCTGAGGATTTAGTAGTAAGTGCCATCTTGTGTTCTCCCAAGTTGTTAGCTGCCCATCGGTGTAACCCCATGTTTGTCTTTTTCATCAGTATGTCGCTTAGTTCGAGATCAAGAGCACATTGCTCTCCAAACCCTGTGTTCTCAATCCCTATCTTGCCATGTATTTGTTACCCCTAACCTCGAGATAGCCACGAGTAATCGGCCCCCGCTTTACTAACGTTAGTTTTAAGTAATTTAGTTATTTTAACAATGAATATCGGCTCCGCAAAGCTACAGCAAATGAGCCTGGAAAAATAAACGGATTATTAAAAGGGCATACGTTACATTTTCTCAGTACTGCTCTTTTTTTGATTTGGGATATTTTTCACTGAATTGATTATAGCATAGCAAGGGTATATCAAAGCACTGTCTCGATTATTTCCGAGTTGCAAGCTCGCTGATCTCATGCTTCGGTTTGGAAATATACAGACAAGTTCGTGCAAACATACAATGCAATATGCAATTCATAAAGAAGCCGGTACCCAAGAAAAATTACGTGTTATGGCATAAGTACATTCTACACTTCAACTCAGAGGAACACAAGAAAGTTTAATATGGTCTAATTATTCTGTCCTAGAAAGTCGTGTTGCACAGTTTCATTAATAAACACGTCAAAACGTCTGGAAAAAGCAATAATCTCTATACGATTATGATTTACTGAGCCCCAGCTCACTCGAAAAAGATTGTCCTTGAAATGGCACAATCTAGCAAAAGCGGGTGTAAAAAAATCAAAATCAAATCGAAGTTTTGCTTTTTTTAGCAGTTTTTCACAACTCATCTCTTGTGCATTCGTGAGCTAAGCTTGAGTATGGCAAAGCGAGTGTGTGTGTGTGTACGATCGCTGCAAACGCTACCGCCAACGAGCAATCGCAATCACACCTCTAGCAGACGCATGAAAAGAGCTGGCGCCACATTGGTCAAGGATTTTTATTTTTTTTTTATTTTTTTGCTGTTCTTGATTCAAACTGTCCCCAAACCGTCAACAACAGGTGTGATATTAACGATCATTATTGAAGGATTTTGATTTGCTTTTCGAGAGAGATGCACTGAATGATTTGGGTGTTAATTCCGAAAAGATTGTCCACTCAGCTTCCCCTACTGGGTTATTCTTAAAACGTAATTTAATCACTGAGTGAATTAGATTGAAAGCTTGCGATTAAGAAGTTAAGATGGAGCAGATATGGATAATTTCACCCTTCAGTGAAAATTTGACGGGTACTGCCATAAGGGACTTGTGTAGCTCAGTTTCAGTGCTAGGAAGAGGACAGGGCTACTTTCATTCCTCGTTGTGAAATTCTAACATGCACAAATATAAGTGACACCTAAATAATTCCAATAAAACTGCATTCCCAAGAGCAATAAACTGTTGGAAATGATCAATAGACTAGTGGAAAGTAGCATCTAGATTGTAAATACCTTGTCTTGGGATCTGCATATTAAGGAAGTAGCGGGAAAAGTGTCATCTTTGTGTGGAATTCTGAAACGGGTTAGTTGTTTCATTCCTCGAAAAGTTCTGCTTATGTTCTAATACTCTCACATTCACTCACAGTTGAACTATTTGATCATTGTATGGGGCAGAGCCTGTAAATCAAAGCTTAAAATACTGCAAGTATTATAAAACCAATGTATTAAAATAATCTATAACCTACCTTTCCTGTTTCCATCTGTCCGGTTGTACACAGATTTTCCACATAAAGTATTGCCTAAACAAGGCATGTGTGAAGAATGAACTTGATTCACAATGTTCAACATAATCCAGCAAGTATCCATAATTTAACTAAAAATTAGACGCCACGATTGCACATTACCAGTCAAATTAATCATATCTCTTGATCACGTGCGTATTCAAACTTTGGTCAGAAACGGTTTACTTATTTAGGTCCAGCCAAATATAACAACCTACCCAGAGATATAAAGCTGCTAACAAATCTTTTTTTTTCTTTCCTTTATTTAACGTCGGTCTCTGTTCCGCAATCTAGTGCCAACCACCGACGGACATCGATTGCCATCCATTGACGGCAATCGAATGTGCAGGAAGGCAGCTTCCACACCTGCGTAGGATATCGCACCCATTCAACACACATGGGCCGGGACCAACGGCTTTACTTCCCTTCCCGA